GTTCTTTAGTTATACTACTAACATTTCAAAGTGACTACCAAATGGGATTGTGCAGATATAGAACCTTTTCATAACCCCAGAAAGTTCTATTGGACTGTACGATTGTACGATGAGATTGGACTATGAGGGTAATGAGACTGTAGTGTTTGCCCCTAGACCTTCCTCATCATTCTTCTCTTAAATTTAACTTTTAAGTTCAGGTGTACACATCCAGGTTTGTTACATAAGTAAACTTATGGTGGTTTGTTGTACAGATTATTTTGTCACCCAGGTATTAAGCCTAGTACCCATTAGTTATTTTTCCTGATCTCCCTCCCATACTCCCTCCTTTGATAGGCCTCAATGTGTGTTGTTTCCCCTCCATGTGTCCATGTGTTCTCATCATTTAGTATTTGGTTTTCTGTTCCTGGAAGAATTTGCTAAGGTTAATGGTCTCCAGCTCCATCCATGTTCCTTCAAAGGGCATAATCTCATTCTTGTTTTCTAGCTGCATAGTATTCCATGGCGTATATATATCACATTTTCTTTATCCAGTCTCCCATTGATGGGAATTTAAGTTGACTCCATGTCTTTGCTACTGTGAATGGAGTTGTAATGAACATACTTGTGCATGGGTCTTTATAATAGAATGACTTCCAGTCCTTTGAGTATATAACCAGTAATGAGATTGTTGGGTCAAATGGTATTTCTATTTTTAGGTCTTTGAGGAATCACCACACTGTCTTCCAGCATGGTTGAACTAATTTACACTCCTCCCCAACAGTGTTTAAGTGTTTCTTTTTCTCTGCAACCTTGATGGTATCTATTATTTTTCAACTTTTTATTAATAGCCATTTTGACTGGTATGAGATGGTATCTCACTGGGGTTTCAATTTTCATTTCTCTAACGATCAGTGAGGCTAAGTTTTTTTCATATGCTTGCTGGCTACATGTATGTCCTCTTTTGAAAAGTGTCTGTTCATGTACTTTGCCCACTTTCTAATGAAGTTGGTTTTCTTGCTTGTTAATTTGTTTAACTTCCTTATACATTCTGGATATTAGATCTTTGTCAGATTCACCATTTGCAAAAATTTTCTCCCATTTTGTAGGCTGTCTGCCCACTCTGTTGATAAGTTTTCTTTGCTGTGCAGAAGCTCTTTAGTTTAATTAGATACCATTTATCAATTTTGCTTGTGTTGCAATTGCTTTTGGTGTCTTTGTCATGAAATCTTTGCCTGTTCCTATGTCCAGAATGGTACTGCCTAGGTTGTCTTCCAGGACTTTTATAGTTTTGATTTTCACATTTAAGTTTCTAATCCATCTTTTTTGGGGGATTAAAACAACACAGATTTATTTAGCACTCACACTGCATGTCTAAAGCATGTCACTTGAGGGATGCCATATTATCATCATCACTCAGAGGCCCAGGCTGACAGAGAGTTGGCCATGTGACTGACATCACCATCTCAACATTCTAACAAAGGAGAATGCAAGAGGAATCACATGCAAGCTTTGAAGTGCTTCCATCCAAGAAAGACGCCTGTCACTTCCACTCTTACTTAACTGGCCAAAGGAAATCACATAACCCTGCCTAATTCCATGAGATGAAAGAAGCATAATCTTCCCTTGTGTTGGGAGAAGAGGAGAACCAGAACTACTAGCAAACACCATTAACATGTGCTTCATCATCCATAATCTACCTCCTTAATTCCTTTCTCCTCTTCTTCCCTCTCTGATCTTCTATCTGAACTGTGTTCCCTGATCCCTTGCCATTCTAATGTTAACTCCTTCCATCCATTTCTTTGTTTTGTTTTGTCTTTATTTTTTTTGATAGTGAGCTTTTTTTTTTAAATAAGTTTTTGGGGAACAGGTGGTGTTCAGTTACATGAATAAGTTCTGTAGCGGTGATTTCTGAGATTTTGTTACACCCATCACTCAAGCAGTGTACACTGTACCAAATGTGTAGTCTTTTATCCCTCACCCCACTCCCACCCTTTTCCTTAAGTCCCCAAAGTCCATTGTGTCATTCTTACACCTTAGCGTCCTCATAGCTTAGTTCCCGCTTCTGAGTGAGAACACACAATGTTTGGTTTGCCATCTTGAGTTACTTAGCATAACGGTCTTCAGTTCCATCCAGGTTGTTGCAAATGTCATTACTTCATTCCTTTTTATGGCTGAGTAGTTTTTTTTGTATATGAGTAATTTTTTGTATTTATGAAAATGGTTCAGTTTCAGTCTTCTGCATATGGCTAGCCAGTTCTCCCAGCACCATTTATTGAATAGTGGATTTTCTTGCCATTGCATGTTTTTGTCAGTTTTTTCAGAGATCAGATAGTTGTGTGTGGCCTTATTTCTGGATTCTCTGTTGTGTACTCTTGGTCTATGCTTTGTAACAATACCATGCTGTTTTGGTTACTGTGGCACTGTACGATAGTTTGAAGTTGAGTAGCATGCTGCCTTTACCTTTGTTCTTTTTGCTTAGGATTATCTTGGCTATTCAGGCTCTTTTTTGGTTTTATATGAATTTTAAAACACATTTCTTCCTCGTTCTGTGAAGAATGTCAATGGTAGTTTAATAGGAAACTATAAATCAGATCTATAAATTGCTTTTGGCTGTATTGCCATTTTTATAATATCGATTTTTCTTATCCAAGATCATGGGTTGTTTTTCCACTTGTTTGTATCATTGCTGATTTCTTTGAGCAGTGTTTTGTAGTTTGCCTAGTAGAGATCTTTCACCTCCCAGGTTAGTTGTATTTGTGCGTGTGTGTGCATGTGTGTGTGTGTGAATTCTGAATGCAATTGTGTTTCTGACTTGGCTCTTGGCTTGACTGTTGTTGGTATATAGGAATGTTAGTGATTTTTGCACATTGATTATGCTGAGATTTTGCTAAAGTTGTTTATCAGCATAAGAAGCTTTTGGATTGAGACTATAGGTTTTTGTAGATATAGGATCATGTCATCTGCAAAGAGATAGTTTGACTTCCCATCTTCCTATTTGAATGCTCTTTATTTCTTTGTCTTGCCTGACTGCCCTGACCAGAAGTCCCAACACTATGCTGAATAGAAGTCATCAGAGAGGGCATCCGTGTCTTGTGCTGGTTTTCAAGGGGAATGCTTTCAGCTTTTGCCCATTCACTATGAGGTTGGCCATAGGTTTGTCATAGGTGGCTCTTATTATTTTGCGGTATGTTCCTTCAATAGTTATTTTTTTGAGTTTTTAACATGAAGGGATGTTGAATTTTATTGAGAGCCTTTTCTGTGCTTATTGAGAAAATTATATGTTGTGTTTTTTTTTTGTCCTTAGTTCTGTTTATGTGATGAATCACTATTATTCATTTGCATGTGTGGAACCAACCTTACATCCCCGGGATGCTTGATCATGGGGGATAAGCTTTCTAATGGCTGCTGAATTCTGTCTGCCAGTATTTTGTTGAGGAGTTTTGCACTGATGTTCGTCAAGGATACTGACCTGAAATTTTCTTCTTTTTATTGTGTCTCTGACAGGTTTTGGTATTAGTATGATGCTGGCCTCATACAATGAAATAGGGAGGAGCCTCTACTCCTCAAGTTTCTGAAATAGTTTCAGAAGAAATGGTATCAGATACCCTTTGCACATCTGGTAGAATTCAGCTGTTAATCTGTCTGATTCCAGGCTTTTTTTGGTTGGGAGGCTACTGAATTACTGACTCAATTTAAGAGCTCATTATTGATCTGTTCAGGGATTCAGTTTCTTCTTGGTTCAGTCTTAGGAGTATGTATGCATCCAGGAATTTGTCCATTTCTTCTAGATTTTTTAGTTTATGTGCATAGAGGTGTTCACAATATTCTCTGATAGTCATCTATATCTGTGGGTTCAGTGGTAATCTTCCTCTTGTTTTTTCTAATTGTGCTTACTTGAATCTTCTATCTTTTCTTCTTCATTAATCTAAGTAGCAGCCTATCTAGTTTTATTAATTTTATCAAAAGACTAGCTCCTCGATTCATTGAGTTTTTGAATTTTTTGTGTGTGCCTCTCAATCTCCTTCAGTTCAGCTCTGATTTTGGTTATTTCTTGTATTCTTCTAGCTTTGGGCTTGGCTTGCTCTTGGTTCTCTAGTTCTTTTAACTGTGATGTTAAGTTGTTAAATTGAGATCTTTCTAACTTTTTGATATGAGCATTTAGTGCTATAAATTTCCCTCTTAACATTGCATTAGCTATGTTCGAGATTGTAATATATTTTATCTTTATTCTCTTTAGTTTCAAAGAACTTCTTGATTTCTGCCTTAATATCATTATTTACCCAAAAGTAATTTAGGAGTAGGTTATTTAATTTCCATGTAATTTTGTGGTTTTGAGTGAATTTCTTAGTCTCTCTCACCATTCTTTTTTGTTCACTTTTGTAAATCACCATGTCTTTTGTGATCCAGTCAGGAAATCAGAGCAGGTGTCACTCTGTAGCACCAGAGTGAGCTGAAAGCTCCTCTCCTGCAAAGGCATTCTGCCTCAGATATGAGGAGAGTAACTCAAAGATGCTCAGTTCCTTTGAAGGGAATGTAATCTCCTCAAGGGCAGGAGTTTACAGTTTCTTTCCCTAAGGACCCATGGCACATAGCATGGTGTCTGACACATAGTCAGCATTTCATAAATAACTAATTCAGTGAGTTTAGTGAATTAAATAAATGCTAACAAATTATGTATCTGTGTGTTGGCCTGTATCTTGGCAATCCAGGATTAAGTAGACTTGGACATCAAGTTGGTTTGTTGTAGCCAAAACCTACATTTTAGGGAAGAGTAATAAATAAAGAATAGGAGTTTGCATTGGCTTCTGGTTCCTCCTTGCCAGCTAGGTGGCCTTTGCTGGTTATTTGGTTGATTTCTTAATCTCTGTGGGGCTCAGTGTCCCCTTTGTAAAATGAGAATCTAATTTTTGACTTTCCTACTTTCTTGGCTTTTTGTGAAGTTTGAATGAGGTAATTTTGTTGAGAGCAGTTTCTAAAACATAGATATTAGTAGCTTTTATTGTTATCACAATTACACAGGCAATGGTCCTAGTTAAAATTAGCAGAGGCCATATATTTCTTCTCCCTGTAGAATTCTAGCTTTCAGACTCATGGTAACATTTGTTTATCTCACTACTGGAAAGTTTTTTTGGTTACTTTGAGCTCATTCCTTGATTTTCTTTCTGTTTTCTCATTAAAAAAAGAAATGAATCTGGTTCAGAGGGCTTTGCTAAAGAATAGATAAAGAATAGCTAATGAATAGCTGTAAATACCAAGCAAAGACAATAGGCTGCTCTCAGGGCTCCAGTGTCCTTGCATTCCACCGTATCAGTCTCTTCCACTTTCTTTTCAGGCTGGCATTTAACACCACCCCTGATGACATTATGGTTTCATCTTCAGAGGATGGTGTCACAGAAGTTAACACTTTTGTCATTATCCATTGAGCTGATTTTGAGATTCCTAAAAGGGTTTAAAAGCAAGATCAGCTGACTTCAGTCACAGCAGATATTACAGGTAAAACATGTTCATCTGAAATGGCTATTATGTCTACATCTACATCTACACTGAAATTCATCATCTGCAGCTTCATTCTCTCTTCATTTTAGTTGGGGAGGGAGACCCAAGTTTGGCGCTTTCAACTATGAAATTCCCATGTTGTAGGCAGTATTTCTGCAGCATACATTTCCAGCACCTTACCTTAATTGCAATGCTCTTTGTTTTACTTTACTCTTATGCTATCTATCTTGCAAGTCCCCTGTCTTTTTTCTTACTCTCTGGGACTACTGCTGGGACTGCTGCTCCAACAATTTCCTTTTCTGTAGTGAGAGAATGATAGAAACTTAAGGCTAGAAAGTATCTAAAAGATCCTCTAGTCTTAAATATCCTATAATCCTTCAATCTATCCCAATTAGTTGTTCAACCTGTGCTTGAACAAACTATTACAACATACCCATTACCTTAGAGTTAATAAAAATGGTCTAATTTTCTTATATCTTCGTTTTCACTCCCCAGTCAAACCGTCATGGGTTGTTCCTTTGTTATGTCTTTCAACCCTTAACATATTTGTATTGGTTGGGATTGCTTTTGACTGCATGCAACAGAAATCTGAATAAAGTTGGCAAACAAATAAAGCTTTATCTTCTCTCATAACAAGAAGTCTCAGAGACAGGCCATTGTTGTTGTTGGCTCAGTGGGTCAATGATGTTGTAGCCAGCAAAAATTTTGCACAGATCCCTTTGCTAAAGCTTTTTCCAGGCACCATGATCACATTTAAGGCAGAAAGAAGGCAGTCCCATCTATAACTTTTTGTCATGAGAACAATAGCTTCTTCAGAACATTTTCATTAGTTTTATGCTTACATCTAATTGGCTAGAGTGATCATATCTGCAAGATTGGGCTGTAGAAACTGAAATGAGATTGTCGTGTTTGGTGTATCCCAATCATAATCCATAACCTGGGGATAGGCTTATTGCCTCTCTCCAAAATATTTGGGGTCTGTTAATCAGGAAGAAAGGGAGAATGGTATTAGGAACTGTCATAGCTGTGTTCCTCAAGAAGCTAGTCATGAGACAAGTTTGCTAGCAAAAAGGGCTTATTTAGGAGGTGATCCCAAGAAGCATTAGCAGGAGAGTGGGAAAATGGAAAACGGATGGATAGAAAGATGTATTAATGAACAGGTTAGTGCTTTGGGCAACTGCAGCGCAATCCTACTCAGGACAGCTTAGAGCTTTCCTACCTGAGTGGTAAAGAAGCTGGAATATTGAACCATTCATTCCCATCCATCATTGGTAGAGAGCTGCTCCCAGGAACACTAACTTCCAAGCACCTCCAACATATCCCTTGTGTGGACTAAGCATCTCCCTCAAGCAGAGAGTTTTAGAAGCTTGTAACAAGAGCAATCCATGTACTCAGACATGGTGAGTGCCAGGGGACATGCAGTGTCTGCTAAGCTACCATCAATGCCAGTCTCAGTACTTACAAAGTACTCAATAAATACTTTAATTCAATGAACACCTACTACTTGCCAAGTGCTGTGAAAGATACTTACTAATTGATTTACTCTCAGAGGGACTTTCTTAATATAAACAAAAATAAAACACATGGTCTTTAACTCAAATCTTGGTAAATTATAGAAATACACTTTCCCCATGGCTGTGACCCTTCTCCTTTCCCTATTCAATATTGGTGATTAAACTTTTTGTTCCTATCAAAGGCATCAGTCAGTACTAGAACAGCCTGTCACTGCATATAGTGTAATTCTTAGGAAACAAGCTGTTTTATTTAATAAAATATTCAGTGTTTCTGAATTCTACTTTGTCCTTAAGAGCATTTATTTACTAAGAAGCACATTAATTGCTTGAAAAAAATGAATGTTTCTTTTTCTTATTCTAGCATGGCGATTTACTGCCATGAGCAGTAACCACCTCTCATTATAACCACCATTGTTCTTTTCTTAATAACTTAAATGAGGACATGATTGTCATGAATGTAGGTGTTGCTTCAAACCTCCCTCAAAAGTTATTCTTAGGTACCTGCTACAACAGGAAGAATATAATCATCCTCCCATCCAAGGCTAGCTTTGCTCCAGTGTGAAGTTCTCTTGTGCCTGGTGGATTGAGTCTGATGATGGTGCCATGACTATTTTGCTTTCAATTTCTTTTGCTTTCCTTCTTTTCTGGCTCCGCCCTTCTGCACTCATTGACCACAAATTTATTGAGTACTGCAGTGGGCATTGATGCCTCTCTAGCATCTATTGCACTCCCTTGCTATTGGGGTAGGCATGTGGTTTGGTAGGACTGACCACCACACTCATAGCCAGGGGCAATACATGATTGGCTTGTGTCAACCAGACAGTATTTTCCTGGTCGTGGTGAGTAGCTCATGGGGGATTATTGTCCAATGAGTGTGGAGTCAGCCTGAAAACAAAGATGGCACAATAGAGATAGATAGATCTGAGAAAATAGAAGTGAAATAAAGTCAGAGTCCAGTTCAAACTGTTTTAGAAACTATATTAATTTCTATACGTTTTAGTTCCATGAACTAATACATTTCTTTTGTTATTAAAACAATTTGAGTTGGTTTTCCTTTACTTGCAGCCCAAAACATCTTGATTGGAAAAAACCCAAAACCCTGCACTTCCTTTCTTCTTCCAGCCTTGAATTGACCCTACATTTCACTCTGTATTCTCCTTTTGTTTCTCTAGGTTCCAAATCTGGATTTCAGTCACCCAGTATCCAGCTGGCAATATCTTTTCAAAATGTGGCCAATTCTTGACCATGGAAGAACCCAGTCATTCAGCTTACTAAGACCTTCTGAGGCATGGGGAATTACTATAAGACATATGCCAGGTATGTCCCCAAATCGTGTCTTCTGACTATAAACTCCATAAAGTTTGCCTAATTCTAAATTATATAAAAACTGTGGCAAGAAAATGTTTGACAATAAGCCTAGTTCTGGAATTTGTGTTCAGGGTCTTTAGTTCTCCTATTGCAAACCAAAATCTATTTATTTATAAATGGTGAGTGATTAGCGGTGGAACCTGGGAAGTGTAATTTACAGCAAATTACATTTAGTGTAGTTCACCTTGTGTTGATCTCTGAGGAAGAGATCATTTTCACTAACAAGAGCTAGTCAAATGCAAATTTATCCCTTTCATAAAACAGCTATTCTTCAACATACTCCAAAGAGCATGAGAAGAAAGAGCCTTCTTCTCATGAAAGAAGGCTCATGAGAAGAGTTACAGTTAAGTATGAGGAGGGTTTTCTTCATGCAAGGTGTTTTAAGAACTAGAATGGGTTACTCAATAAGGTTAGTGAATATTATTTATTTAGAGATTCTTAAAAATAAAATGGGGCTGGGCGCAGTGGCTCACGCCTGTAATTCTAGTACTTTGGGAGGCCCAAGTGGGTGGATCGCGAGGTCAGGAGATTGAGACCATCCTGGTTAACATGGTAAAACCCCATCTCTACTAAAAATACAAAAAAATAGCAGGACGTGGTGGCATGTGCCTCTAGTCCCAGGTACTCAGGAGGCTGAGACAGCAGAATCTCTTGAACCCAGGAGGCAGAGGTTGCAGTGAGCCAAGATTACGCCACTGCATTCCAGCCTGGGTGACAGAGTGAGACTCTGTCTTAAATAAATAAAAAACCAAACAAACAAAAATAAAGTGGTTTGGTGAAGGTGAAGATTTGCTTAATGACAATGAAAAATAGTCTTTAGCTGTCTGATGATTGATCCTGAAAAGTATATGCTTAGTTTCTTTTAAAAGACTGAAGAAAGCTTTCTGAACAAATAGCACTATAAACACAGACATAAAAATTTGCACTCCCTTCAAAGTATGGGTTCTTTCTTTTTTTCTATTCAACAATAATCCCATAGAATTTGTTGGCCTCTGACATTCCATTGCATAGTTGTTGGTAAAATAGGTCAGGTTTGGTTGGAGTCTGACTACATGGCACACTGATTTTGCTCTTACTTTGGCCATCTTTTGAAGCCTTGCTTGGTGTACTTACATGTGGTCAGAGAATATTTATAGTCTTCTCAGTGATCTTGGCATTCCTAATTTAGAAGCAATAGGAACATCTAATGACTCACTGGGTCCTGTGAATTATGCCTTCTAATTCGCTGTAGAATACAGCACCTCTTTTTTCTTTTGTGCTTGTTGTCTTATTCAAAATCTTATTTCCTGCTTCTCTTATACCTCTGTTCCCCTACTTGGTTTCCTTGCCCTCTTATCTCTTCTCCATTGGGTTATCATGAAATCTTCTACATCTTATTCCTTACTTAAAATACCACCATCATTACCAAGTTATAGAAGCACCTTCACAATATGGGTTCAGCCAACTTTTCCATCCACCTCTCATTTCTCCTTTACACATGTGAGGTTCTGCAGTGTACCACATTGCATTCATCTTGCTCTGTACCCACTGTTCTCTCCAATTTGAACAGCAAGGATGCTTCCTCCCTTTTATTCTTCCTTGTTAACATCTCCGCTTCCTTCCGGATTCAGCCCAGCCACCACTTCCTCCCTGACACTTCAGACTGAGTTAGACACCCGCGGGTTCCCACAGCACTTATTGCTGATCGTCAGTCTCCTGAGATCCTGGAGGACTGGAGCTATGTTTTCATTTCTGCATTTCTGGCATAGTTCTTAGAGCATGGTACAGGTGCTCAGGAAAGGTTTATGAAATGAAGGGCTGAATGAATGAGGTAGAGATTATGCTTCATTTACTTTCTTAGGGAAGGAGAAATGAATGAGTTAGGCTCATTATGCACTCCTGAGGGGTATGGACTGTGGTTGAGCTAAGTTATGCCTTTGTAAGAAAGACATGGTTAGCGCTGTTTGAGGCTGTTAATCAAAATCTAGACTTCTGACTTCCAGTGCACAATGCCATAGAATTCCAACATTCAAACATACTGAAAGAAGACCAGGTTGCTAGAGCTTGCCCAACTCATACAGGCAGTTACCTAACTGATCCAAAGTTACTATGTACCCTGGAGTTTGGGACAAAGTAAGAGCTGAAAATTGGGGCAGAAATAATCTTTATCAGCATGTCCTCAAATAAGCCCAAACTAAAATTTCATGTATAATATGAAAAGGTTTCGCCAGGCGCGGTGGCTCACGCCTGTAATCCCAGCACTTTGGGAGGTCGAGGCGGGTGGATCACGAGGTCAAGAGATCGAGACCATCCTGGTCAACATGGTGAAACCCCGTCTCTACTAAAAATACAAAAAAGTAGCTGGGCATGGTGGTGCATGCCTGTAATCGCAGCTACTCAGGAGGCTGAGGCAGGAGAACTGCCTGAACCCGGGAGGCAGAGGTTGCAGTGAGCCGAGATCGCGCCATTGCACTCCAGCCTGGGTAACAAGAGCAAAACCCCATCTCGGAAAAAAAGAAAAGAAAAGAAAAGGTTTCAGTGGATCTTGCAACAGTGGGTCTATTAACATTTTAAATTTGCAATTCAAAGACAGTCCAATAATACCTAATAGATATTTATAAATGTGATGAGAGCTTTATGTAATTTTGTTATTTAATCTCTGCAACAACCCAAAGGGATAGGTAATGTTATTACTCCTATTTTACAGGTGGGAAAATTGAGGTTCAGAGACATTAAATAGTTTAGGTACCTTTCTGAAGTCATACATTTACTGGTAGTGGAGTTAGAATTTAAAATTATATTTGTCAGACATCAGAGACTTGCACTCTTAGTTAGCCACTTTTTTCAGTCTTAGCTACCAGGGAAAGCATCATGTGCACGTTCTCAGTTCTTTTTATTGATACTGTATCAACAAAAGCATATGAAGTTTTCACTATATAAACAAAGTAGCAAGATGTGAAGCATCAAATATTTAAAACTAAGAATCTAGAATGTAAGTAAATACAAAGGGAAAATATTATTCTAGCTATGCAAGGCATAGGTTATTATTAACAAAGTGATAGATGACAAACTGCAGTCAGAGAGGGATAGATAAATTGTGCAAGGTCACAGAGTGAGTGGCTGAAGTTGGATTTGAAGAAGGCCCGTCTTACTCTGAAATCCTCCTAAGGCCTCAGTTGTTGGGTGCTGATAGGCTTTTATTTAAATTTGTCGTGGAAACATAGAGCAGGAATAAACTTAATGCCAAAAATCCTGCTTACTGCTTACCCTATGATAGAAGACACAGTTGAAACAAAAATTTTTACCACTCAAAGATACCATTCTGGCATTAAATTGAATTAAAAAACACAATGTGATACTATCTCATACCCACTTGAACGGCTACTATCAAAAAGATAGAAAATAAATGCTGGAAAGGATATGGAGAAACTGAAACTCTTATACACTGTTGGTAGGAATGTAAAATGCTGCAGCTGCTTGGAAAATAGTATAGTAGTTCCTCCAAAAATTAAAAATAGGAATTACCATATGAACCAGCAATCCTATTTCCATGTGTACACCCAAAAGCACTGAAAAGCAGGAACTAAAAGAGATATTCCTAAACGACTGTTCATGACAGTGTTATTTACAATAGCCAAAAGGTAAAGGCAACATAAATGTCCATCTGTGGCGAGTGGATAAACAAAAAGTGGTATGCATATAACAATGGACTATTATTATTATTATTATTATTTTTTTAAGATGGAGTCTTACTCTGTCACCCAGGTTGGAGTGCAGTACAGTGGTGTGATCTTGACTCACGGCAACTTCTGCCTCCTGGGTTCAAGCGATTCTCCTGCCTCAGCCACCAGAGTAGCTGGGACTATAGGCACGTGCTACCATGCCCTGCTGATTTTTGTAGTTTTTAGTAAAGATAGGGTTTCGCCATGTTGGCCAGGCTGGTCTTGAACTTCTGACCTGTGACCCATCTGCCTTGGCCTCCCAAAGTGCTGGGATTACAGGCGTGAGCAACTGTGCCTGGCCTATTCATTCTTTAAAAATATGAAATTCTGACACATGCTATGAAATGAATGAACCTTGAGGACATTATATTAAGTAAAATAAACCTGTCAGAAAAGGACGAATACAGTATGATTTCGCACATATGAAGTGCCTAGAATAGGCAGCTTCATAAAGACAGAAAGTAGAAGGATGGTTGCCGGGGCAGGGGGTGAGGGGAATAGGGAGTTATTGTTAATGAGTACAGAATTGCAGGTTTGCAAATAAGAACTCTAGTGATGGATGGTGGTGGTGGTTGCACAGCAATGTGAATGTATTTAATGCCATTGACTTGTGTACCTGAAATGGGTAAGATGGTAAATTTTATATGTGTATTTTACCACACTTAAAAATAATTTAAAAATGAGCTAAGTGTTACCAGTCAGAGTCCAGTCAGGAAACCAGTTACCACTCTAGCCTTTCAAATGGAAGAGAGTGTGATAGATTCAGTCACACATGGGTTGGCCAGCAGAAGATGATGAAGCCACTCAGAGGTTAGCAAGAGCAGGAGGCTGGTCCCATCCCTAGGGCTAGAATTCCACAGAGAGGAAGGTGTATTGCCTGGTCCTAGAATCTCGGCCCACATAGTTGGAACTAAAACTACAGTGGTCAGGGTGTGTGGGGCTGCTGCCAGGTGAGACCTAGGGCAAATAAAGGAGGATCTGTGTCTGGCAAGAGCTGGAGACACAGGGGAGACATAGCTGCTGCTAGATGCAGCTGAGGCAGGAGAGAGGGAAAGAAATACCCTAGCATCTCCCCTCCTTATACCCTGCCATATTCTACCAGTACCTCCCATGGACTGAAACTACCCAGAGATCAGTTAGCAAGAGCCCAGATATGTAGTTTCCTGTGACACAGAGCAGAGCAGTGTACACAACAAACCAATGAGAAATGGATCTAAGGGCAACCTGGCAAAATACCAGCACATTAGTTTGTGAAAGGCTTCTTTCCTCATTTAAAAAGCAATTTTTAAAAATCTCTCTACATTGAGTTTCAGATACCTCCATGCTCAGTGACACTGATTTTTATTAAATTAATCCACTTTCTAGATGTTAGAAACATTTATTAAGAGTCTATATTTATTTGAACAGAGGTTTAGCTTTGGGTATCATTCGATGCTTCAGAAACTATCTCTTGGTCAACAAAATTCAAGTCATCCTGAGCAAAATGGTATACTGTTTTGTTTTGATTTGTTCATAAAGTGTGAGCTCAGATGGAATAAAACTCTTGCTCTTCCTTTAAAATCAGATCAGAGTTCACTTTCTTCTCTGGCCCTTCATTCACCCCAAACCTAGGTTAGTGTTTCTTTTCTCTGCAAAGTCAGCACCATGAATTTACTTAGAGTATAATACTTACAACAATTTTAACATTTTGTTGATTTGTCTGATCCTTGTACATAAGTCTGCAAACAATTCAAGAACAAAGACATTATGTGTGTGTATGTACAGTATATGTATATATATTTTCATAGATATGTGTGTGGGTATACTATGCTATCACCAACACTAATAACTAACAATAACCATTTCAGGGCCAGATACATCGTAAGTACTCAATACATTTAAAAAATGAATAATTATTTAATGAAATACAATTAATAGGTTTCAGCAACTATTTGGATGTGGGGAGCAAGGAAGAGGAGTCAAAACTGCATGTGAGCTGTTCAGCTGTGGTGATTAGGAAGAATTGTGTTGTTAATATAAATAACAAAGAATGGGGCAAAACCTTTTTAAATAAAAGCTTTGTGAATTTGGTTTTTGATATATTCTAATAGACAATCAGAAGTATGGAACGGGCCTCAGAAACAATGTCAGGGCTTACAAATAAATTTGAAAGTCATTTTCATAGAAGGGATTTATAGAGGGATCATCATGTAGCAGCAGCTTGTTTTTTCCATATATTGCTGCAACAGTGTTTTCTCTTATCCTACATTCTCTTTTAGTACTTTACTACTTCCATATCAAGAGGTGGAGTCCATGTCCTCTCCCCTTGAACCTGGGTAGGCCTCTGTGTTTGCCTTGACCAATAGAGTATAGAAAAAATAGACTTGTTCTAGATTTCTGCCTTGTTCTCATAGATTATTTGCGCCTAGAACACAGCCACCATCTTGTGAGGAAGCCCAAGAAGCCTTTGGTGAGCTCATGTGAAGAGGAACAGAGACCCCTGGCCCACAGCCCCTGAATCCCAGCCATCAGCTAATACCACCTTGCCAGCCACATGAGTGAGCCATCTTCAATGTGGAGCTTTCAGCCCCCACTGGAAATAGATGATGTGGAATAGAGCTGAGGCATATCACATCTACCAAGCTTTGTCTGAATTGCAGATGTGTGAGTATCATAAATTATTTTTGTTATTTTAGAGTATTAAGTTCTGGGGGTAATTTTTTATATATCAAGAGATCATTGACATATGTAGGTGGAAAGGATCATGAAATTTGAGTCTGACAGGCCTGAATTCAAATGCCTGTTTCTACTATTACCGGGATTGTGGCTTTAGGCATTCTACTTACACTGTCAGAACATCACTTTCCTCAGGCATAAAATGGAGCTAGCAATGCTTATTGCAGTGGGGCTGTTACGATAACTAAAGGAATTGTTATACATTAAATGCCTAGTGCTGTGTTTAATCTCTCTGGTGATTAATAGGAGTGCTATTTCCCCAAGAACTAGAAAGTTGAAGTTTTGTGAGCTCTCTGAAGAAAGAATATGCATGGAGTAGAACAGGTCACTTGGGGGTGAATAGGGAACAAAGAGTAAAAACGAGAATTGGTGAGGGAATAGTCAGAAGAGGAGGAGGAATCAAGACTGTGTAAGACTGATTATTTTACTCAAATTCAGAAAATGTGAAGGTCCTTAATTTAATTTGAAAAAATTTTTGATAAAATTTGAGTGAAATAAGAGACAGACTAATGATGAAGATAAATGAACCACAAAGGCACCAATTCCTGCAGTAGAGAGGTGATGAGTGGCATATGACAGAACAGTGTTGACAGAGCAGAGGTCTGGAAGCCTGAATTCTAAGGGGGTAAAAAGAAAAGGAATACTAAATAGTGAGAAGAAGCAAACGGCTGGCATTTATATATGCCTTAATGTCTAAGTGTGTATGTTTTTCTTTAGGTATGTGAGAATATCAAAATATGAAAAAGGTATGTATCACCCACCAAAATTTCTTTCTCCAGTATAGTGGTCTTTCTCTTTGCTCTAGAAATTTATCCAGATGCACCTTCTGTGGGTTTTATTTATTTATTTATTTTGAGATGGAGTTTCACTCTTGTTGCCCAGGCTGGAGTGCAGTGGTGTGATCTTGACCTACTGCAACCTCTGCCTCCCGGGTTCAAGCAATTCTCCTGTCTCAGCCTCCCGAGTAGCTGCAATTAAAGGCACCCATCACCACACCCAGCTAGCAGGTGCACCTTCTAACTCATCATCCACACTCTTCTGATTCTCCCTAAAGGATTATTTATTTATTATGTTTATCACTGCCTTTGTGGGTTATTTTTTCTTATCTGTTTTCTATTTACATTTAAATTCTCGTTTTCCAAAATGTCACATCTAATTATTTACCATAGTTGTACTTGCTTGTTATACTCTGATTTCAAAGTGGAAAGCAAAGTGTACAGATAAAGAACATAATGACCAGGGGATCAATGGCCATATCTAGCATAGGAGAAGAGAAGTAGTTTTTAATAGATGTAAATGAAAGCATACAATTAAAAACTATAGTTTTCCTAACTTCACTTGATTATCTGATACTTTCAGTGTTCAATTAACTAGTCAGAAGGTATCTACTATTATAATCTCAGAGTTTTTGAGCTAAACAAATGACATGTTATTTCATAAATAGGGAAACAGAGACTCAGAAAAGATACCTGTGTGAAGTTATAGTTACTCACCTTCCTACAATGGTTCAGTGAAATTGTTACAAATGAGTGATCATAGTAAATCCATGGTGAAAACCTAGTTTCCAAATAGCCCATTCTTGTTTTACTTTTTTGAAGACTGCATTTTCCGAGATGAGATGCAAACTCATTCACATAAAAGGTTTTTAATATTCATTCTCAAACATTTATTTAGCTCCCACCATGTACAAGGCACTGCGTTAGGTGGGTCTTCTAAAGTATATTACATGAGGGTATGAAAGATAATTTGTAGTTTAAAAAGCCAAATTAAGAAAATGTAGTATTTATTAGGCATTTGTAAGATAAAAGGTACTTGCTAGAGCACCTCCTCTGCCAGCTTTATACCTTCGTAAAATTTCTGGTTTGCTCAGGAGATACGAGCATGATGCTAATGAGAGCTGGGTCAGGAATTTAATTCTTGACAGCTTTGTACCAGGAATGCTAATTTGGACCAACTATGTCTAGGTTGTTGTTAGTTGTAGTTAGTTCTGCAACTGAGGGAAGTGTGGCTGGTAGAGCTGATGGTGACCCAACGGTTATATATGGCCAGTAAGTGGATACAAGAGGCAGGAAGTGGAGCTATCCATAGTATGTTTCTGAGTTCTACCCTGCCACAGGTGACAACAGTCGCAAGGCAAGGGGAATTGGGACATGGGATACAGAATACAGGGCATAAGTTGAAGCAGAATTCACCTGGGAAGCGTAACACTTCTTTCTCATATCTGTTTCTTTCCATGTGTATGAATTCAGTTCAGCTAGCACAACATCCCTGGCCTCTCTCAACTCTTTCACTCTGTCTGTCCCTGGAGAGGTGTCTTGTCTGCATAGTGAACTTGAAAAAAAAAAAAATGGACTGAGTTTGCTGGTCTCTTTGTTTTACTGTCTGGGAACTAGCTGCCTGCAGGGCACATGCCCACACTATTTGTCACTGGGTGAATTTGTCTGCCTGATCTTAGTGTTCATAAACAGGAAGACCATTGCTTACAGATATAAGATTTGTCCTCTAACCTAGATGTTATCAGTAATAGAGGTGATATTTTGGCCCTGAATATTCTTTTGCCTTATTTCCCAGCTTAACTTGGGTTGGTTATTTACTGAGTTCCCTTTTTAAGACTCCTAAAGGATACACAGGGGGAATATTCTGGTTGCTGGAATCTCTGGGATAAGTGGGTGTGTACTGATTTCTGTTGTTTTTAGTGCTATCAGAGTATTTTGTGGCATACCTTAAGTATCATATTGCTGTTGTTTACAAGGCAAAGATCACCACATGCTTCATCTCTATGGCTTCACTGTCCAGCAAAGATCTCAGTAAACGAAAATATGGAAGATCTCCAGTATGGCAACCAGGAATCCAAGCTGGGAGGCCCAAATCAAAGTAAAAGGCACAGAAATAATCATACGTAGGAGATCATAGGAGAGGGACTGCATTTCTGAGCACCACACCGAAACATTCAGAAGCACCAATTGTCAGAACCAGCTCAGCAAAGCTGATATTCTGTACAAGCCAAATGGGCCAGCTCACTAAGGCAGAATTGCTCTGATATTGCTTGGGCAGATTGTGACTGTTCTTCAGACTGAAAAGGTCTGGAAAAATTTTCAGGTGACCCCAAAATTAAATTAAAGTTCAGAATCCTGGGAATTCTTTTTTTTTTTTTTTTTTTTTTTTTTTTTTTTGAGACGGAGTTTCACTCTTGTTACCCAGGCTGGAGTGTAATGGCGCAATCTCAGCTCACTGCAACCTCCGCCCCCTGGGTTCAGGCAATTCTCCTGCCTCAGCCTCCTGAGTAGCTGGGATTACAGGCAGGCGCCACCAGGCCCAGCTAATTTTTTGTATTTTTAGTAGAGACGGGGTTTCACCATGTTGACCAGGATGGTCTTGATCTCTTGACCTCGTGATCCACCCGCCTCGGTCTCCCAAAGTGCTGGGATTACAGGCGTGAGCCACCGCACCCGGCAAATCCTGGGAATTCTTATGTCCCCAAACTACAGATAAAATTTTAGTTGTCTGTTAAGAAATGCGTGTGTTTGAGCAAGTAAAGGGTGGTGCATCTAAACATTGCTCAAGACAGCTATTAGGGTTTGTGGCTTAATTTTTTTATTAGGATGTCAGCAAAGGTGTAGACACACAGAAGAGAGTTTGGCCCTTTTAGCTCATCACTGAAGGAGTAAATATTTTTGTCTTCTTTCATCCATACTCTGCTCCCTCCCTTTTGAACTGGATTGATGTGGCCTATGAAGAAACTTGTCCTCCATTTTTGAGAAAGCGAAGCCTGAGTGAGGTGGGTCTTAAGAAGCCCGCATGAAAGTCAAGATGTTTTGAATGGTGTCTGAGCTCCTGGGCAGCCTCCTGAAATCATATTATCTGAAGTCCCTTGGAGTTTCTTTCCTGAGGACAACAACAACAGTCTATTTATTGGTTTCAGTTGCTATGAAGTGACCATCCTGCAGAAGTGAGGCTGTTGCCCTTAGCTACACATCTCTTTGTGGGAATAATTTTGAATCACACAGTACCAAATCAGCAGCTGGGCAAGGCACAGACCCTGATGAAATATTTTCCTAGTGTTAGCCTCCTTTTATAAGACAGGTTGTGGCTAATTCAGCTTAGAAGTGATGCATGTCATTTTTCATCAAAGAAAAGGGCTGACTTTATTTTAACACTATCCTCTTCCCTCTCAAGTAGGGATTTGCTTATTTTTATTCTGTCTTTCTGAGGTGTGTTAGTTAAAATAATAATCCAAATCGCCAAAATAATTTCTTTTTCCTGCTCACACCCACCTTACACAGTTACTGAAAGGATTATAGAGGATAATGTACAGAACACACTTAAGCAATGATAGGCAGTGCAATTATAAATGTGGTTGTTGTTATTCTTATCCCAGAGAAGAAAAAGCTCAAGGGGGCTGGCTTCTGTTTCCAAATCATGAGTGTTTCTGTTTTATCCCCTCTCCTCTCATCTCAGCCCATCCCATCCCATCCCATCTCATTCCATTGGTTCCATAGATATTTAATATTCAAACTAAGTGTTGAGTACATTTCTATTTTGAATTTCATTTGCTATCTTCTGGTACTGTTAGCTCCTGATCTCTTTTTTGTTTCGCATTTCACCTTCCATTTTGAGAGTAATCTGCAAGTTTTGATATTTACTTTCAACACAGATTCACTCAATGTAATCAACTTTCCATTATATACCAACAAGATGCTTGGGGTGGAGGGGCATGTCTTTATGTATCCTGTACTTGGAATCCATTTGCAGTCTTTTGTCTCTTTTGCTTAAAGCAGTTTCCAAATGCATTCTATGTCTGCTGATATTTGAAAAGGCTGTAAAATTAAAGCTAGGCAATTATGAATACTATGAAAAAGGTTTTGACAACTTTTGTTGGCATTTAATTCAAGTTAAACTCCTCTCATTCAAAATAATAAGCATAATGTTACTTATTATGTAAATGAGGTGGCAAGGCAGATGTTTTTCTTCCTGGTGCATTCACTGAGGATTAATACATACAAAAGCTGAGAAGGAAGGGGCTGGTGTGCAACCTGGAAACTCGAATAAGGGTTGAGCAAGAGGAAAGATGATTACTCTTGAGCTGTGCTGTTCAATAGTGGAGGCAATAACCTCATAAGGCCATTTAAATTTAAAATAATTAAGGTGAAATAAAATTGAAATTCAGCTTCTCAATCACATTAGCCAATTCATTTGTTCAACAAGCCATATGTGGCTTGTGGCTACTTATTGAAGAGCACAGATAAAGACCATTTCTATCATTGCAGAAAGTTCTACTGGACAATGGTGCTAAACCCAGAAGGGTTAAAGTAAAGGGAAGGATGCTTCTAGATTCCTCTACAATTGGAACTTTACTCAGAAGAGTCCTGCAAGGTTCTCAGAATGGATGTACATCCATTAAGAGCCAAGAGATGTAAAAGTTACGATTAAGTGGTTGGTTAAGTACTACCTTTGCATATCACGGGGATACACTGTAGTTGTGCTCCTTCAACTTTAAATGTTCATACATATCACATGGCGATCCTAACCTGCAGACACTGATTCAGTAGGTCTGGGGTGGGGCCTGAAAGTCAGCATTAATAAACAGCTCCTGGGTGATACTGATGGGCACCCAGGTGATGATCTGTGAATTGCACTTAGGGTAGCAACGTGCTAAAGTCCTTAATAGCATTGACTTAATTTACAGCAACATCCCTGAAGATGGTTAACCAATCTGACACAGGAATCTTTAATCACTGAAGGCTGGTGCCAGGGTACATCTCATAGCCACTCAAAATTGAATCATTTCACATCAGAGTCCTTCTGGAGAAAGCATAAGCTGCTGTCATGTTACCAAGAAGAAAAAAATGGCTCATTGGAAAATACTGAATACACTAATTTGAATCTATGATAATTGGGATAGTACTCTACCTTTCTAGGTATTCAATTTTTGCAGATTAAGGAAGAAGAGAAATTTTTTAACTAGCATAGAAGAAACTGCTGCTCCATGGAAACACTGATTTGCATACATAAAAATTCAGTCTATAGACATCCTTTTCAACCTTGTCTGCACAATTGCAATCACCTGGGAGAACTTTTAAACATTAACATGTTAGATTTCACCCTCAGATATTATAATTTAATTGATCTTAGGGGAGGAAATTAGTATTTTTTGAACACTCCCCAGATGATTCTCACATGCAGTCACAGAGAATCTTTGATCATAGCAGTGGATCTCAAATTTGAGCATGCATCAAAATCATGCCTTGTTAAAACATGGATTGCTAGATCTCATCTCTAGAGTTTCTGATTTGATAGGTGTGGGATGGACACTAAAGTGTACATTTCCAACAAATTCCCAGGTACTATTGCTGCTGGTTTGGGGCTCACACTTGGAGAATCACTCACCGACTTACAGCACTGTTTCTCAGTTTTGGCTACACATTGTAATCACCTGGAGAGGCTTAAAGGCTACTTGTCCTTAGTTCCCAGCTGCAAATATTCTAATTTAATTTTTCTGGGGCTTAGTAGTCTGTGCATTGAAGATTTTAAAAAGTTTCCCACATGATTAAAACTTGAGAAACATTAATGGTAATAAAGCAAACCCATTAGGTCTGAGGACCAGAACACTAGCTTTACCTGGATGTTTGTTGGAAATGTAGTCTCAGGCCCAAACCCAGACCTACTGAGTCATAATTTGCATTTAACAGCATTTTCCAGGTGACTTCATATACATTAAAGGTGAGAAGTACTATAGTAGATAGCATTTTAAAGTAACAATTTATTGATCTGTGTCATTTAAAGAAATTCTTGTAATAATTTTTGATAGTTCCTAAAAATATTGTGGCACATAATTTGGTCCAAACTCACTCCAAATTATTGTAGCTTTACTAGATTGCCACTGCACAGACAAGCTCTTGGTTTCTGTTTGCTTTGCAACAGAAGGAAGTAGTAATCCCAGCAGAAAAAAAACTGTGGACTTTCAAGTCTCAAGTAGAAAGAAGGTCAAGAATAACCAAGTTTTTAGGGAAGTAGTTTCACATATTTGCATCAAATTTATTATTCAAGATAAAGTGCTTTTTAGTTAATGCCTTTTGATTTCAGAAAACTGTATGCATTTAATTTATTACCAGAGGTACAATACAAATAAATTCTTAATTTATGAAAGTTTTCATTATGCAACACCTAGATCCTGGAGGATGAGAGTTGGTAGGGAATATAATGTCTTAAAAAAAAAAGTTGTTAAATTGTGTTTTCCTAATTAGCCTTTCTTGATAGTATTTTAGGGAAATATTGAGTGCTCATAGATGATTATAATGTAGAAAGACCAACCATGTGATGGGCCAGAGCACTGGGTCTTAAATTTAAATGTGGTAGGAATCACTTGTTAGAAGTAGATTCTGATTCAGTAGGTCTAGGGTAGGGCCCAAGACTGCATTTCTAACAAACTCCCAGATGCTGGGAAGCTGCTGGTTTGTGGATCACACTCAGTAGCAAGGAGTTAGAGTGACTACTCTCCCAGGATACCTTTTTGTAAACTACCATCTCAGGAACTCAAAAAATCAAGAGGTCTGGTATAAATAGGAAGAAGGGTGATGTTGCTAAAAGTACTAATTTATTAATTTAAATCACCTAGGAAGAGAAAGCCAAAGGTCTAAATTATTCATAGACCTATCATTAATGGAAAGTTAATTGGGAAATGAAGAGTCATTTGAGGCAATTGCAAAATAGTAACACAAATACCTCAGATGACTAGTAGGGCAAAATTTTCAAAATGTTGCAAGCTGTCTGGATGCTTGAAGTAGCAATTTACATGCATAATTAGGTGCAATCAACAGTTTTGAAATGTAATATATTTTCCGAGTCCATATTTACTTGTGACAGATGCTTAAAAAAACTATGTCCCCCAAAAATAGAGGGGCAGAAGAAAGGAGAAATATTTGCATTTAACAATAAGAACCTTTAAAAGGACATGTCTAAATTTAGAACAAATTAAAATTGAAGTATTGTATATTTATTTTGATTTAATCTTCATTTAAACCTTGAAAGAAGTTCACAAACATATTTTGGAAGTAGCAAGCATGGAAGAATAATAACTTACCAGTCAGCTATTCCTGCTTCTCTCTGAACTGACATGTGATTTTTATTTCCACACTGTAGAAGAAAAAAAAAAAAAAAAACCTGACAAATTCAAACCTTTATTGCACAAAATACTATTGACTTTCTTCCTGTCTTTAGAAGGGGCTTCATTCTCTAAAGATACCAAATATCTTTTAGGAAATTTAAATAAAGGCGATTTAAACTGGTAGTTTCTTTTTTGTAAATCAAGGTCTTCAGGTGAATGTGCACTGTGAATGTATATTATCTTACTGTTCTCAATATAACAATGTTAGGTGCTCACTATGCACTAAGACACTCTGATAAGTACATTACACATATAATCTAATTTACCATTGTAAATATTCTATAATGGTCGTTGGTTTATTACCAGGTACTGGGGAGGAGCTTACTCTGTTTTTAACGAGTTCCCAATTTAGAAAATGAACTTGAAATCTAATTTTTAGAAAATCTGAAGGAAAAGAGAATGGGTAATTTGGTCCCTAAACTTTTTCTTCTTTTTCAAAAGCTTGTTCACATTGCATTATTCAGATTGGTTGTCTACACTGAGGAAAGTGGCAATTAATTTGTCACACATGCAGCTTCAGATTAAGAGATAGCATTGAAGAATACAACCTAATGATGTGTTCTTGTGTAACGGCATCTAAAGGGCAGTATGTCTTGATATGTAAAAGTTGTGTTTAAAGTTAATGGAAAGCATTCACGGGATGAGCAATGCAATTTTCCAGTTTCATCAAACAAGTGTGATCTGTAATATATGTTAGGGGGGAAAAAGCCATCATCTGCTAAGAAATGCATGAATAGTTCATTAATCTGCTGATCCGTTTGGGAGCATTACGGAACTCAAAGCCCAGAACAATGGGCTGTATTTAATATTGGACAGGTTCTCGATAACCAGCCATTTATCTCCATAGCTGCTTGAAGGTCCCTCCTGAACCTGCAGAGATGCAGTAGCAGTTCCCGTGAAGTTATAAGCTACTACCCAGCCTTAAGTACTGTTAAATTGAGAAGTCATCCTGCTCACCTGACTAATGGTGAACCCCGATTTAAGAACTTCCAAATCTACTCTCGCCATGTCTCTCTAAATTTGTAGACGCAGCGCACTGCTCGCCCTGGGGTCACCACCGAAGCCTCCTGGTGGAGCCCTGCTCTGCTGAGGACGCTCTTCCAGCACGGAACTCACCACAAAAAAGAGACGGCGCCCAGCTGGCGCCCGCCCCGGGCACATTGCAGTAAATGCCTGGCAGCGACTTCTCGGTTCTCACTCCTCCTACCCCATCGACCCTCTGCTGCCGACCTTTACGCCAAACTCCGGCGCGCCGCGAGACTCGCGTCCTCGCGGTCCCCGAGGGGCCCCACCCCTTCCCGGTTCTAACCTGCGACCTGGCCAGAGGCAAGGGTAGGTCGATTCCTGCCCGGAATTTGCCGTTGGCTTCTCCTTCTCTACTCTGGTTCTCTAGTGCAGGGCTGTGCAGCGCGTAGCCACCAGCAGCAGAGCAGACCCCGGAGCGGAGCTCTGGGACACACACACGCACAGCCCGGAGGGACTGACCCCGGAGGCGTGCGCGGCCGCGGGAGGGAGGGGACCAGGGCCAGCGCGGAGGCGGGGGTCACTGGGGTTGGGGGTGGGCGCGCCAGCCCTCCGCACGCACCTCTTTCTAGTCCTCGCCGCTGCCACCTCGCCCAGGTCGGAGATCCCTCCTTTCCTCGGCTCCTTTGCGTTGGGGAGGGTTGTCGCTTGGTCAGCGGGCGGGGACCGTAGATTTCACTTACACCTGACAGTCCCTATTCCTGCCAGTTTGGCCGGGCATATCCCGGCGATCAGGTTTGTTCTTCCAGCAACTTTGTTCAGAAGGTTGGTAGGGAGGGGAAACGCCGAGGGGCCCCAAGAGACGCTGGAAAGCGGCGAGGAGCGTGGGCCGGGCTGGAGAGCAAGTCCTCGAGCGGCCCTGAGGCTGGGAGCGCGCTGGGAGGCGCCGCCGCCGCCGGGATGCGCTCTGCTTAGCGGGACTGCCGGGGGCGCCTGAAGGCCAGCGCTCCAAGGACACGCGGCCACCCACTCCTCGGGCTCCCCGGCCCAGACGCCGCTAGTGCCGGAGCCGAGCAGGCGAGCGGAGCCGCGGGGAGCGCGGGCGAAGGGTGGCAGGAGGGCGGGCGCGCGGGAGGCGGCCCCTCCTCGGCGAGCCATGCGTGCCACGGGCAGCTGAGGAGCTGCCGGGCGCCGCTGCCAAGTCTCCGCTCCGCTTTTGTCTTGCCCTCCAGTGAATGGGAAGATGGAGATGGATGTTGAGGGAGTTTCTCCGCGCCCGGAGCCCATCCCCCGCTCCCAAGGGGTTGGCGGAGCCTGCCAGGCGCCGCCACAGCCGCCCCAGCCCCAGCTGCCGCCGCAGCCGCTGGCTCAGGATGAACTGCCCGGCGAGAGTGCCGGCGCTGAGGACAGCGACGATCCCGAGACGAGACCCAACGGCGAGAAAGGAGAGAGCAAGGTAGGTCCACAGTGTTGGCGCTGTGATACCTTTTGAACAAAACCAAGGAGTTGCTGTCGTGGCTGTCACTTTAACCCCTCCGCTCCCCAACCCCCTTCCCTCGTTTGTGTGGGGGTGGGGGTGGCAGATGTGAAGAAGGCTTAAATTAAGGGAATCCATGGGCGCTAGTGACTTTCCGAACTGGAGGGTATGTGCAGAAGTCTGTCCTGGTTTCAGTGCTCAGCGGTGTGTGCAGAGAAAAGTCTTCTGGTACATGCGGTGTGTTGCTCTGGTCGAGCACAGCACCTCAGCAGAGCAGTGTTGAGACCTTTGCTTGCCCTCGCCGTGTAACTGAGGCTTATTTGGATGATATAGGTCCGGGAAAACATATCTTTAGGAGCTGCCAAGTGGCTTCTGAGACTCCTTGGAGGGAGGTGACATCAACCTAAAGATAATAACAATGGGAGCAAAGTTTGGCTCATTTGCAGAATGGAGCGCCTTGCTTAACCCTGCTCTAAGCTGGAGGTCCTCCTCCTGACCTGGTATCCTCCTTCTAGGAGGGCAGGGATCAACAGCCTGGCAGCAGATGAGCCCTACAAATCTTTTGCAGCCCTGCTGTGTCATTGTAGACCAGGGGATACCTGCTACTTGCTGTGGAAAGAGGAGTTCTTCAGGTAATTGGATTCCAATAAGAAGTGGCTTGAATGTTATTTTCTGGTGCTGGTGTCTCTTCTGCTGAGAAAATTGTAAAGCAGAGGAAATGGCATAGAAAATACTGCCTTAGTAGTATTAGGAGGGTGTGTTTATTACAGCTTTGTCTCTGGGTAGTCTTCCTTCACACACTCGGAGTTTAGTTTTGTGGAAGCTAATGTTGCTTTGTTTTATCTGTATAAAGTGTACACTGTCTATTTGTTAATGTATTTTGAAACTGGCTGGTAATATTGGGGAAAATTTGGTTCAACAAATCAGAATATTGGAACCAAATGAGTCAGTCTGTCTACTTTCTCACTTTTGCTCACTTAAAGAAGTGTGCAGGAAAATGGGCACTTCTGCTAATTAGAACGGAATTGTGTGTCATGAAGTGCCCCTTCTTGGAGATTGCCTTGGTTTCTGTTAGGGCTTTCCTAAGACACTAGTGGATTAAACAAATGCTGGAAATGTGTCAGGATCACATTGAATTGCTGTTCAGTGTTTGGAGACAGGCTCACTTAACAAGTTCAGATTTGCAAATGTTCAGAATTGTTTTGCATTTTGAAACGGAGCTAAGAATCAAAATTGTTGTTTATCTTCCAAAATCAATATTGTTATTTAAATGGCAGTTTACCAAGGAACTAGAATTTGAACAAACTCTGGATGCGACCGGGGTGCCTTACAAATGCATACAAGATTTACATTGTGAAAACTATGATGAATTTTAATATTCCAATATCCTCAGCTTTCCAGTCGCTCTTGATTTCATGAATATTTAATTCTGTCATGACTGCATATTTACTACTTTCAATGACTGTCTGCGCTCAGTTTTATGAAATAACCATAACTGAGCATGGTATTACCTAATTGAACTTTAAGTCTCTTTTGCAAAATAGGTGTGGAGAATAATTAAAATATACAACCAGTGCTGCCATTTCCATATTGTTGATTCATATGCCCTGGGCATGAGAAATTCCTGCCATCAGCAAAAATGTGTGCTTATTTGTTTCCCTTTGATGCACCATGCAGACTGTCTGATGTTTTACCGGTTGTGAGGAATAAGGAAGGCAATGCACTAGAATACTACAGCAGGTGAAGAGAGGACTGAAAGCAGGTTGATTACATTTAGTTAATTAGCATGTTCAGATAATTGAGTATTCTGATGATGTGATTCGCTTCATGTTTGTCTGCAATTTCTTGAGGTGGAAACAAAATACTACTTTTTATTTCCTCCAGGTGTTTGTCTTAAAACATTATGTTGCATCCTTCTCTTAACCTACAGATCAGCTTTGTTAACCCTTTGCTTGCCTCTAATACTGTCCTACTGGTTCTTTTGAGTCTGAGGATGGTTGCTGTGTTTCAGACTTTCATAACTGTTTTTGTCTTTGACGGATACTAAGGCAAGATTGTAAATTGATTTTTCTTAGCAAATCCTTATTTCTTTAGTGGGGAGTTCTTTGGCTGTCTGACCGAATTATTCTATTAAAATATAAATGGAAGGACAAACTGGTATAAGGTGAAATGGGGTTTTACTAAGCTGTTTGGGGTGAGGTGGAGTAGTTTATCACAGTGTGGTTTTCAAACAGTAATGTACAAGCACTGTACCAGGTGATTATGTTTTTTTCTCATTCATAAGAGCAATAAAATACAAATTTCAAAAACAGAATGATTAACTTTACCTTAAGGATATTATAAATAGGATGTGAGTGGATATGGCCCTTGAAAATTAAGTGTCAAGGACTAATGGCATTTTTTTTTTTTGTAAGATTCTGGTTTAGGGCCATGATTTATTCTCATATGAATTTATCTCAGTTGTCTTATTGGAAAAGAAAGCAGAGCTTAGTGCCAGATCAGCTTGTCTCCTAAATTGCAGGATCGTGGGTCATATGTCCTCAGAAAGTCTATGAAATAAGAAGAAAGGTTAGAAAACTGGATCAGTCAGGGGATTTTTTACACCTGAGTTTCATGATGTGACTGGTGCTTTCTGTCCTAGAATAATGTTTCCTGATTCCTCTCTAGCAAATACTCTTCAAAGAAATATTAAAGCAGCTGCATATTATATATGCTTTGATTCCATGAATTCAGGAGGAAACAGACCCAAAATAGACCATCTATTCTTCCTCTGTGCTTTAAGGCAGGTTTATATTAAACCCTTGCAAAAACAGCCTCTTCTCTTTGCAATGACATCTAAAGACAATATTGTAATCACCGTTGGTGACCTGGTGAGATATTTCCTCACCCATTATTTCAAGACCACCTTCCTTATGTCTGAAAAGAGGTCCTCTAAACTAGATAGATCTCTTTTCTTTTGGTCTTAGCAAAGAAGATTAAATGATCATGGTCCTTAAGTAAAAGGACCATGATCATTTTACTTAATGATTCTTGAAAGTGCTCTTGATTCAAATTCTTGAAAGCGCTCTTGATTCTGGATTTGATCATCCTCAGAACTTTCTTAGAAAGTTTTCTGTGGGATCTAAGTATTCTCTCCTTTCATTGCTTTTTAAAATTCTTCTGAAATGCTTTGGTTTTAGCAAATAACTCTTGGATGGGTGTTTCTGAAACTTCCTTTGGAAAAGTTAAAAAAAACTTTCTTGTGTCTAGGACCTGTACTCCAGTGTGTTATTCCCTTTGTATTATAAAGTTACTTATATAAAGTGGAAATTCTTCCCTGATCTGATCCTAGATGCCAAATAAAAATGACTTTTTTCCTTCAGTTTCATGTCGTTGATATATTCTCTCTTTTACTTCATTCCTCACACCCTATACCTGCCTCACCTCCGACTGCCAGTACTGTTTACTACAGTATTTTATATAGAAGGTATATTTATGGCCCAGATGTGAAGCGTTATGACCAAACTCTCTTTTTGGCTCAGCTCCTATTAAATCCTTGGTTTGCAAGATGTGTTATTCCCATGGCTTTGGATTAGAGGAACTCTGTGCTGTTGCTACCAATGATACATTGTTGTTGAAAATGACTCAATTCTCACTTCGACTGCATTCCATCAGTAATGCTGTTCTTACAGTCATTCTTTAGGAGCATACTGTAGGGACTCTTACTTAGCATGTCACTACATTTTTGAAAGCCTTTTATTTTGGAAACAGATTTATATTTATAGATAAGATGCAAAGACATATTCTTTGCCCAGCTTCCTCTAATGTTAACATCCTACGTAATCAAGGTATGCGTATTACAATAAAGAAATGAACATTTGTATGAAACTACTAATTAACTTGTGTAGCAAAATCTTTTTTGAGTGAATGTGTAACATATAGATGCTTACCATTCTATTCTTTTCGTCTTTAAGGTGATCTTTATACCTGAAAGGCTCTGTGAGAGGGTATTTAAGAGTAAAATTTAACTTCAGGGTGACTATCTCTCCCTTTCATCTGTTGAGTATGAACAGCTTGCAAAGTGCAAAGTTAGAGGTTCCTGGAGCTCTGCGTAACTGCAGTGAGCCCTGGGGGAGTTACAACTTTGGCAGAGCTCTTGAGTGCTCTTAGCTTGAGAGGAATAATGGTCTTCCTTTTTTTTTTTTTTTTTTTTTTTTTTAAACTGAAAAACGTTCCTGCTCCAGGTAAGATAAGGTTTGTCAGTACGCAGAGGACAGCAAAGTCTCAAGTGTCAGGTAGAGGATAAAAGGCAATTGATAAATTCAAGGTAGTTCACTTTGATGCCTAACTCCTTGGGTGATTGTTTCTGGCATGAAATATAATAGAAGCCTTTTTGGTTTTGCACTGTGTATTAACCAGGTGGACTCTGACTTCTGGCACAGAAGCAGAACCGTGTCCACAAAAGGTAGGATGTCAAAGTGATTAAAAGTGTTGACTGTGAAATAAAAATGACCCTAGTTTGATCCTGGCTTGGTCTTTCATTAGATCTTGATCTTAGACAAAGTCTTAATGTTTCTAAACCTCAGTCTTTTCATCTGTGAAATAGGAATAATTATGGTGCTATCTATGGTTAGTGTATGGCTGGAATGAGATAAAATGTGTAGAGTTTTCAATTCAGTGCTTCATAGGTAATGACTGCTCCATAACAGTGAATAAATTTTATAAATTGGGGCTCCAAGTCCCCCCTAAATTTTCAGGGGGGACTTGGAGCCCCAACTTATAAAACCAGAGGGTTCTGGGACTGGAAGTGACACAGACACACTTTTCTGCAGTCAAACCAAGTTGTTGCTCATGTACCTGGTTTTGCCCTGTGGTCCTTAAGATGTTCTCAGGTCTTTCTTGGTACGCAGAAGGTTAGCAAATAGTTATCTTGACTTATCAATAATCTGCTGTTTTCTCATCAGGAAAGCCAAGGAAGAGCAGGATGAAAAAGTCTCTAT